TCCCGAAAATTTATATGCTGCGAAAGAATAGGGGAATTAAGGAATATTACGTTTTTCTCTTCCCTCCTACTGTTCCCAATCTTTTCTCCCATATTTAAATTAGGTACCAAAAACTGATAAAATTTGAGGCACTACTCCAGCCCGATCATATGCTGCAAAAGCATTGCCGCGGGGTCAACACGCGCTATGCCTCCCCACAGCCGGCCATCCCAGGTCTAGCCTCGGGACGTGTGGGAATGACGGTCCCTAGATGTGGCGGGAGCGGCTACCCACTTCGCCATCTTTGGGGGTTACTCGAAAGGTTCAGTTCGCCCAAAATCAGGGGTGCCCTGAGTTCCCCTAATTTTTGCTGCCTGGTCATACCAGAGTACCGTCAAAACACGGACTTGTCCCCGAGCCTAAGTCCCGAAATCGCAGATTTCAGGCGGCGCACTGCTCGTGGCCGCCTGACAACGGTATGCGACACACTCACACACACACTTACACGCTGACTAGGATCACCCTGAATGTCCCACACGCATACACACATGACACACACTAACTCCGTAGCACTAACCTACGTGGCAGCTATGGCTGTCGTCTCTCTTCTACTAACTCGCAGCTATTGCCGCGTCTTCCTCCTCTTAGCCCTCTTCTTCCTCGGGCACCTGCAGACCTCCGGTACACAAGACTCTTGGACAGCGCTTCCGCACGGCTCACAGGCAGAATGAATGAATGACTTGACGCTGCCTCTTTATTTATACTTCTGATCGTCGTTGGTCTGCCCTTTCACCGTGGGCCCTGAGTGTACACAGTCCCACATGGTACTTGCCGACTAGACAAAGTGCGACTGGGACTAGGTACCGCTGACTAGACGAGGTAGGACTGGGAACGCCCTTTGCTGACTGGACTAGGACTGCCCCTTGCTGACTCAGCTACGGACTGACCCTTGTGACCTACGAAGAGCCAGTTCCGGAGCTTCTAGAAGGTCCTAGACTTGACCTTTCGGAACTACAGTAGCTACGACCTAAGTTGACCCTACGCCGACTGAAACTAAGGTCTACGGGTCGAATCCACGCGACCAGCTATATACAGTGGTCAGAACATACAACTTTTTAGGGGTAGGTCGTGGGTTCAAACACACACAGGGTCAATGGGTACTGTACACGGGTAGGGACAGGTCTAGGGATTGAGCCGTGGGATCTGCATCTGTCACCGGTTAAGGTGAAAACCGTTTCACTGGGTCAATTTGGAGGTTCTTTATCACCCTTGCAACAATGGCCTGCTTCAGGCTTTCCCCTCTACGCCTTATTTTGTAACCCTTCTTCACTGTGTATTAGTGTAGGGCTATCCATTTTTGGCTTTGCCTTTCCCTTTGTTTCCGTACCAGCCTCATTCAATGGGATCTATTTCCAATTTTGATATGCCCTTGTCTGGCCGAACAACCAGATGGGGGTTTCTTGCCTCTTGCTTCCTCACTTCGTTCGCTTTTGTTCTTTTCTTAATTGCCTAACTTTCCGTAGATCTTGTGTCTTGAATTCTAGGTTTATTATGGAGTCTTTCCTTACTACTAGTGTTGCTCTACCTGTGCTCTCTATTTCATGGACGCCAAAGCTCGCAATATGCCTATCAGGTGTTGAGTATCTAATGAGTCGGAGGGCTACAGATGGTGAGTCTTGGATTCTCAGTGTTGCCCAATCCCCCTTCTTCCAAAGTGTATCTCGCATTACAGCCGACCTCAAGCTATAGGTATGCTCTCTTCTGTAGGTTATGGTAGCCTCTCATTGTTGGCCTAAGCTTCACTTCCCTTCTCCATTTCTGATTGTGATCGTCTCATATGTGTTCCACCTTCCACAGCCGTTTCCTACCCATTTTCTCCATCTCTTATCCCTCCCTAACAGTGTCCATGGTTGGTCATTTTGATCTTCCAGGACGTCATTACCAAAGAGGGGTGTCTAAGCATTTCCTCTCTTGACCTCGGCCCTTTTCGCCTCTGTGGAAAGGTTTCCCTCCAGATTGAGATCAGTTTTGCCCAATGTTTGCTGGGGGGGTCTACATTGTGTGGTTTTCCTTCCGGTCTGTTTCTGTTTCTCTCCTTTCTAGGTGACCAGTGTCTGTTCATGAGCCATGTATGGCCTTCGATGCTTTCATGTGCTTTGAATGGCAGCAGGTTTCTTATTTGGTAGAGGGCCATTTCTTAGTTTCCACTTTGCTTGTAGGGTCTTATATTCTATGGCTGGGTCTATGAGACTGAGACTTCATCTGCTTGTTGGATTGATTACGTACTTCCAGGCGACCTTAGTAATGAATTTATATTTCGATGCATCGCCTGCCCATAGATAAGCGGCCACTTTTTCCTTTCGCTCCTTGGTGAAATTCGTCGGTGGGTCCATTCTCAGCATTATTGTTGTTTCTAGATTAGTTAGCCTTTTTGGCAGTTTCTGCCCTTCATAATTTGGGGCTGCATGGGACCTGGCCCGGACCTGGCTCATCCAGGCCACCAGGTTGCACATCCGAGCAGCCAGAACCAGCCACCTGGCTGGTTACATAGGTAGACTCGAACTGAAATCTGCAATGACAGTGGCATAATCATGGAATTAGCAAAAGTGTCACTGGAACCTTCGATAGGACACACTGGAACACAGCGACGCACACATTACCTGTATATCGAACGATCCATGTGACAAGAAAGGATGGCATTGCCCTCTGGTGATGAAGTCAAAGCAACAACAGCACTCCCCTCAGGATGAGTGTAGAGCGTTCCGGCTTTGTTGTTCCGCAACTGTCCAACCTGGAGGGCAGTGGTGCAGGTTTGTCACAAATTTGTCAAGAAATCCGGGTTTGTTATCCTCAAAGAGGTCCCCATTCCTTACACCACCAGTAACCATCCTCAATCTGCTGAAAGAAAACAGTCCATTATATTTTCTGCCCAACAGTCATCGGAGCCAGGTTTGGATAGTCTCAGGATGCAGGCCGGAGCAAAAAGGAATAGCCCAACCCTGGTGTAAAGCTTGTCACTCTGTTCTTCTGCATTTCAGATTCAGAGAAAGTCTGAGAAACCATTGAATATAGTCTTCATGCTCTGTCATAGGGAAGTCTCATTATGGAATGGTAGGAATAGTATGGGGGAAGCGAACAGGGACCCTGATTGGCCTTGGGAATGGAGAACCATCCTACTGGGACCCTTATCTGTTCCAAAATGGAGCGGCTTCGGACACATGCTCCATCACGGAAGAGGGGACGTAATGTGGGTGATCCGGTCTCAATGGTGAACCGTTGACATAGAGGGAGAAACATTTCAGGACACAGAGCCAATGGCTAATATAAAAGAAACAATCCACATGGCTATGCTGGAAGAACGGAAAAAGGGAAACTGCATAATCTGGAATCGGAAAAGTAAAAGAAAGAGTTGATCCAAGAATCCAGTGCGGACTGGCGGGGGCACTTTGCCAAGGGTTTTGGGGGACAACGGCACAGAGGGTAAAGCAGAAATCATCTTCAACTATTGGCTCATACCAGATTCCACATGGGCTGTCAGACCTACCCATCTTTTCCATGACCCTTTCCCTTCCCCTCTGACTTGTGGGTCTTTAGGAAGGGCAGACAGAGAGCGACAGTATTTGTCTTGACGAAGTCCAACCTGGCGTGCTTCCGCTGCACGGGTCAAGGACACCTGGGCAACGATCCAAACTGCCTGGCAAATAGAACAGCAGCAGTCTGACAGCCATCGAGCCAAACCCAACTGGCGGAGTGTGAGGGCAAACCGGGAGTGTGGTAGATCAACCACCCAGAGTAGTAGCATAGGCTAGCACTCAGGTGGCGGTAGTGTAGGCCCGCGTAGCTTGGGGTAGTACTTGAGTACCGGTAGGCCGGCAGAAGAAGACAAAAAGTTAGTACCTTTAGAATACTAAAAGTTCCTTTGTCTCTTTCATGGTTACCAACCGGACGTCCAGATCCCGATCCAGACAGTCCGGTGTCTGGTGTCCGGTGTCCAGTGTCCGGGTCCAGTGTCCGGTTCAGAGGGTCCGGTTGCACCCCAATTTCAAAAAATTCGAAGTGTTTTTTTCGGGTTCACACGATTTTTCGAACGTCGAAGACTGGCAGCCCCGGTCGAAGAGGAGCAGCGCTGTTGTCGAAGTTCCCGTCCGCTGCAGTGCCATCGCCGTCTTGCCGTGGAGGTCTGCCCTGTTGCCGTCTTGCTGTCGAAGCTCCACCATTGCCGTCTTGACGTCGAAGCTCCACCATCGAGGGGGCTGGAGCGGGTGTGGAACTTTGCTGTGTGTGTGTGTGTTTGTGTCATGTGTGCCGGTTCAAGATTCCAAGTTCCGAACTTTGAGGTTCGGAGAACTTCGGGCGTTAATAAACTTTTTTTTTTTT